GAGCTGGGCTGTCACCGCTTGGCCGCCGGTGGGGGGTTTGGGAGGCCGCATCGCACACAAACACCCACACACTCCCTCAACTTCCACGAACGCACACATACGCAGACTCCTTTCCACACGGACATGGACACACGCACAGAAACCCACACACTACCTCAACTCACTCGACTTAACACTTCTCACTACACACTTACCGGATAACTCGCACTCTGATTTCCTACGTGATGAAAAATGCTTTCGGGCCACTCGTCGTCTAGTTTTGGGTTGATGTGCGAGTCTTTTATTGTGAGAAGAAGTTGGTCTGACATGAAAAGTCTCTCCTTCAGGCACCCGCGTGGATGGTCCCATCCGGAAACACGCTCCCTGAGGTGCCTGGAACACCACCAAGAACCGGGATCAGGCGCCGCGGAGGGGGCGTGGGGCGTTGATCTTTTCAAGCCTAAGGATCCTCGAACCCTCTAGTTCACAAGGGGCCCTGGGGCCCCTTCTCCAAACGGGTGCGGATCCGGAAAGGGAAGCGGTCTCTTCCCTTCCTTCTCTTCGGTCCGAGTGTGTCGAGTCGGGCGGTGGGCCAGTCGTCCATTCCGAAAGAACACGTTTCAGGGCCACCTCTTGGGGACACAGGTCATCTACTCTATAATAATCACATATAATCACTACAAGTGGGTGGGTGCTTGGTTTTTCATGCGCTTCCGTGAGTTCGGTGACCATGTTCTGATTCGACACGGCCCAATTTGAGGATGCACTTTCATTCAACCATATACATGCCCAGACACTCCATGTCATGGAAGATATGCCTACAGTAGGCAAATATGGCGTACCATGGTGTTTGGGATGGTTTGGCACTCCCAGCACGTCGTAGCCTTTTTCACCACTGGGACTCCCAGCACGTCGTCTCCTCCCGAAGCCGAGGTGATGCAGGGCCGGCAGTTCAGCGCCGTAGAGCAACAGAGCCTCGTTGCAGAGTGGGTGGGTTTTCAGCATATCCAGACACGACCTGCTTGGGATTGGCAGATTGACCGATCAGTTGGGGTGTTTTCAGGTCGTAGGCAGTCAAGATGCCAGTCCCGAGCTGTTTGTGTTTGGGAAAGAAAAAGACCGAGCCAAGATGAGCCAAGCTGTGCCCAGTCCATTCACGGCCAATCCAGTGAATGACATGAGTCCCGGAGCTGTTGACGCTGGATCTGGATAGGGATCTCTCTTGTGCGGTGATATGTTCGACACTGTGGCTAGTAACTAAGACCGGTGCCGAACTTGTCGGGTCCAGTCGTACCGAACTTGAGAAGGTACACTTTTATGAGGGGATGGAAGCGGGGGGAGCAATGTTGACACGAGTGGCTCCGAGGAAGAATGAGTGGCTGCGGCGGGTGGCTGCGGAGCGGATCCAAAGGTGGGACGCGGCGACCACGGATTGCATGGGTTCATTTGATCCACTCAGTATTGGACGGTTCGCAGCCCAGCGAACGGAATCACTGCTTCACCTGGTTCGGCTCGCGGTTCCAGCCGCCGGGAAGCACCGATCCCAACCGGTGCTTCCTGTTGGGGATCCGGCTTCCGGGCCGTCCCCCTCCCTTGGAGAAAGAGAAAATGGTACGACTTGGGTCCGAGGACATTTGGTGAAGAACTGTCAACCGCCTGGTGAATTCTGATGTCCTTTCTGGAGTGCAGCTCGCATGATGTCAATGCGAACTCATGGAATTAAGATGCCTATATCCACATGAACCCACTGCCAATATTATGAACATGGTGGAGGGAAAAACACAATTGGTCAGATGTTCGGTTCTATTCTATTCGTCACCGTCTTCAGACTGCCAAGCTTTGAGCAGACGACTTGCAGCGAGTTGCTGCGAGTTGCCGGGGACATGTGGTGACAGTCGACAGTCCAGAAAGAAGGAAGTCATTTCCCTCCAAAAGAGTCCAAGACTTGTTGAAGTTTTTACATGTACTGGAGTAAGCGGTGTGCCATGGGGTCAAGTTCCTGTGCGATGGGGTAAGTTACCACATCGGGTCGTAGTACGTTCCTCTAAACTGACCTAGCCCAAAAGCCGTATATGGAGGAATGTCATCGCTCCCTGCGCCCCCTCCAGGACCTGGCGCGCTTGGTACAAATACTGCCGGAAGCCTCGGAGACGCAGCCAGAAGAAAGAACACACAACCACATCCGAGGTTGAGCTCTCTCTCTCTCACTCTTGCCAGGCTTTCTTTTGCCTTCAAACACCTGGGGGGTGGCGCCTCCCAGTCCCGAACCGACGTGAGGCGGACGTCAGACACGGAGCCCCGGACATGCTGTGCAGTGCTGGCTCGCACCGCTCAGATCTCCAAAGCCAACGTGGGTGCTAGAAGTCGGATGATCTTGCATGGAGGCATGACATTGTAGTCTCAGAACATCTCAGAACCAGAATGAGTCAGTTTGGTCGTGTCGTGCTAATATGGCGGAGGATTTCTGCCAAAGAGCCATGAATGACCCGATCCAAGAGATGCCCCACCTGCAGGGTCCATTGGGTTCCTGAAGTCTGCTTTTCTGTGCGAGTTCTTGGCGTTCTTGGCGTTGTTTTGGTCGGTCCAGATCACATCGTCCGAGGTCAAGAGAACTCTGAGTGGTTGCAGACCACCTGGATCGCGGCCACCATGATTCAGGAGTGGAACGCCATACCGTGCGCCGAAGCGGGACAAGCCTCGCACCTGGGAGACCTAGGTCAGTGGAGTGTGACACCGTCACTCGATCCGGTTGGTGGTTTGGAAAAGGACGGTTTTGGGGCAAAGTGGATGGGTGTGGAGAATCAGTTAGGCCATGACTCATTACAGTGATTTTTTTTTGGCCTACATATGAGACCATAATGATCGCGAAGGCTTGCGGAAACATGACTTTTCCAGAGCTTTTGGATGTTTTGTACTTTTATGGCAGGGTCCAGGGTCCAACTATGATGCAGTGACTAAAGCTAGTAGGCTCTCTTTATAATATATATATATATATAAACCAGCGCCCTCCAACAGGCTGTTAGTTGAGGGTTGTTGGACCCTAACAGGTCTCAACTGGTGACCTGTAGAGTCGGGTCCTGGTATATATTAGGTGTTCTTTTTCCCGGATGGCTTTTGGTGCCTTGGTCAGACAGATCCGCTCATGGATGGATAGGCGAGATGGCGGGCCTACCACCTGAAGCGGCAAAAGCTCGACCGAGCCTCCACCAACATGCAAAGGCGCCGACGCATCGGTTTGAATAGGCAGCTGCCGACCAGCATGGGCAGCTGCCGACCAGCATGGGCAGCTGGTGACCAGCATGGGCCATCATGGGTCGTTTTTTTTCTTTAAACACCGAGACATTCCACAGCTTTCTTTTCCTTGTTGGTCTTTTGAAGAGGTCCTAAAGACATCTAAAGACCAGAACATGTAGGACGGTCGACCTGTTTTCGCAGGTGACGTGACATGCCTTTGAGGATCCTTTGGGTATGATCCATGCTTCAAGACTTGCCATCCCAGAAACTCTGACACCGTTTTCAAACCCGCAAACGTCACTGATCTTTATGGTTTATTTGTATGTATGTCATCATCATCCTCGAATTCCAATCAGCCCGCTGGGGGGGACGGCAGCTGGCCTATACGTCGAAAGGGAAAGGTTCTAGCACATTGGACCCACCTGGTTATGGTAGGATCATGTAGGATCTTTGTTTGCACCTACCAAATGATTTACATGGAATACATTGGAATACTATGGAATACTGTATGATACTGTATGCATCTCTATACGCTACTTGTAAGTTCACCAGAACCAATGCAGAATCCAATGCTGCAGGGACTTATAGTAGTGGATCTACTATCAGATTCTCACAAAATGTGGGTGCCACTCCCAAGAAGGGATCTAGAACAACCGGCGAACGAAGGTTTTCTTGGTAGAATTCACCGGTTGGTTGGGCCGGCGTCTCTTGGGTTTTCGGTTCGGCTTTCCTTGGTTGAGGAACAGGGTGAACTTGGACGCCCCAACAAAGGAAGAACACACAGACCTCGGTCACCTCGGCGTTTCCCTTGGTGGTCTTGGGGCGCGTCGCGACAAAACACTCGTGGGGCAGTGATCGACTCTGGTGGTCCTACGTCTGATAGACACGGGGAGCTGATATTTGTTTGATCCATTTCGATCCATCGTCACTCTATGTCACTCTATAGTATCAAAAGAAATAAAGGCGACATAAAACATACAACACAACAACCATCACCATTTGGGAGGTCTATACTCTCGATTGGGAGAGATCCTTCAATGGGATCTCGATTTGGATCGCATGAGCCTTCACTTTAGATTGAATAGCTCGATCACTCGGACCTTCTCCACCTAAGAGGGTTTTTTCGAGACCTGAACCTTAGGACCCGTCACCTGGGGTACCCAACTGGGTGTTTGCCCGGCTTCTTCAACGGACCTACCTGGCCGGTCTCCACCCGACCCTGCCAGGATCGTGCGAGCCTTCCTGGTGCGGCGCACCTTGCAGAAGCGCCGCTGCGTGGTTCGGGGCGCCCAGTCGTGGTGAGAAAGCGACCGGTACGGGGTGTCCACGGTCGGATTTGTCAGAAGCCGACCCTGTGGATTCATGTGGATTAACAGTGGATTAACTGCAACATACTGCAAAGCAATGTTTCTTTTAATTAAATGTATTTTGTTATTTTTATGATATGTCATTTTTATTCTTTTTCATGGTTTTACCTTTTCTGCTCAACTCCTAACAGTGTGGAAAATAAGGCGAACGGCAACGGCTCAGGAGTCCGGAGTCGGCGATGTCTCCACTTCGTAGACGTCTATACGTTAATAGATGATCTATTAATTGCATAGTGCATATCTCTATAGGAATCAATTCAACGACCTAAAGAGCTGCAGGGTTTGTCTCAAACGCAGAAGATGCACAAATGTAGGGACACCTATCCAGAGCATATGCTGTTCATGCACTTCTCCGGTTTTCAGGGGTGAACTGATGAGCTCCTGCACTCCTGCGCACTCCGCTCTGAGAGATCTGTACGAAAATACATGACATGACATCCCCTTGTGAGACCAAAAGGGGCCATCGATGCTTGCCACGGGGCTGTGACCTCTTCTCGGTGACCACGGGTCGTTGGAGGTCCGGAAGACTGGATCAACTGGGGAACTGATCAACTCCAAGCACTGAAAAAACATGTCAACCCCCTCAGTTGGATATACATTCTATTTTAATGTCTTTGGGGCTCCCGGAAATCAATTCTAGAATCTAGCTTGTGTGGGTGTTTTCAAATTAAATTGGTGTCTCTATGTGTCTCTCTCCCTCTCTCCCTCTCTACATCTCTTTCTCTCTTTCTTTCTGTCTGTCTGTCTGTCTCTCTCTCTCTCTCTCTTCCTTCCTATGTGACTTCTTCCGAAGTTACCAAATAGATCCGAACATCATAAACCACACACACAAGTTCCCAGCCCCGAAAAGGCCCCAAATCCTCACGTTCTTGGCCTTCCGTGCCGAAATCTCGACGGACCAAACCTCCCTCGCTGAGATCATCATCCAGCGCCACGCTCGCGGGGTCCTCGCCCGCTGGGGCAGCCCAGAAACCCCGATGGAGCGAGGGTGAAAGCGTCGTGGGCAGACCCGGTGGTGCAAAGGGATTTGGAAAAGACCTGGGGAGGTTAAAAAGGAAGGATACTGTGATACTGTGACTGATATGATTTGAATATGGTCATGTATGTGGTGTGCCTGATTTGCGTAGCAAACCCGAACCCAACCATGTTTGAGTAACACCAGCAACTGCTTGGGCCGGCCACTTGAAGACAACACACAGCTGGGCTCGGATGTTGGACATCCGAGCACTGCAGGCAACCGGCTTCGGCACAAGAACGCGGCAGCTGTGAAGTGCCAAGCCCTGATCCGCGGTGCGCTCGCGCGGATCCTCAGCTCGTTCCTTTTCTCTGGGGGTCAACACGGTGCCCATCTCTTTGGAACTGGTTGGAGAGGACGTTAATTTGACACATGTTTCAATATATATATATATATATATTATATACCAGCACCACCCAAAGGGTGGCTTATAGACCCCCCTGAAGATGTATGTTCCATCCAACAAAAACCACCCAAGATTGGGTGGTGGTGGTATATCGTAATTAACTTGCGCCCTTTATATGTTATTTTGTTTGGGCAGCATGGGCACGATAGGTCGGTCGGAAGCATCGACCCCTTTTTGGGTGCGTTGAAGCGACGCGTGCGCGGACGTCGCGGAACCGTCCATAGTCCCCCGCTGAAAGGGCTTTTGTCTCACGCGAGCAAAGAACAATAGGGGTGCCTGAACTTATTCAAGGGAGCATGATGGTGCAGGTAACAGCCCAGTATATACTGTAATGTTTCTTCAAGGAACACTCTTTACGAATGAACACATTCGTTCAACTGAGATAAACCCTTCAGGATGAATCTATAGAGATAACTTGACATTGCTACATTGCTCCAGACAAAATATATCAAAACATGATTTAGATCGCGAACCTATACTTGACTGTGGATGAAAGAACCTCCTGCAGAGACCAAGGGGCCCCAACGAAGCCTGATCACGTAGTATTTCTGGGCTACCTCTCCTTACAAACTGATCCAGATGTCGTTCTTCCGCACCTCAGAATCTCTGGACGGACCTTTGCAAGACCCAACCCTGGCGACCTACGGGCTGGTTGACCTGGTGTCAGAGATCTCTTCCAGTCGGTCTCCTGCCGGGAGCATCGGCTCACGACCCGAGGCCCGACGGCAAGTGGCGAAGAGGAGGGTCGTGATGCATCAGCTGGCAGCACCGGCCGGTTGGAGATCACTAGATCACTGAGACGCACATGAACGGCTTGGGGCAATCTTTGAAGGAACAAGAAACTACTAGTAACAAGGACGCTATGTTCGGTGGAGGCCATCGCTCTTAGGTTGGAGGCCATCGCTGCTAGGAACAAGAAGCTACTAGTAACTAGGAGTGGATCGGAAGTTGACCCTTTGTTTTGCACATGGAGTGGGTGCGGGGTAGTCATTTCATGTCATTTCATAGCTCGAAGGACTTTAGACTAGCGGTATTTGCAATTTGGAGGCGATACCCTCGGTGGAGAGGCCCTCCAAGGACCTCGGCAAATGATTCGACGATCTGTTCTGATGCCCTTTCCATTAGTAAAAGAAGGGACATTACTTGTTATATTAGTTATACTATATCATGTTATGTGATACTCTCAGTAAAATCCTTAGGCTGTCAAACCAGTCAAGCAATGTCAAATACCTCCCGACGTTGTTGCCGATTTCGCCCCACGACGTCAACTGGAAGGTCAAGTTCGAACGCCCGTCCTTGCGGTTTTCCACCGTCACGTGGATCGCTCAGTTCGGTTCGTCCAGCATCGCCCTGCCAGGCCATCACTCTTCAGTGTGCCATCCGTCTGGGCCCCTGGACGCCCCGACCCGACGGACGACCCGACATTGAGCACATGCCAAGAACGTCACGTGCAAACGCAACATGCATGTGCAGGTGCCTACATAAAGACAAGAGGAACACTGTGTCAAGGATCAGTCAAATGCTGGCCAGGTATGGCCAGGTTAGGTTTAGTTTATAAGGGATTATCTCAACGACATTTGGTTCGAGCTGAAAGAACCGACTCAAAACCTTTGACTAACATCCTTTAACCTGACTCGGTTAGTATGAGTATTGTATCCACCACCTGCTTTATACATCTCGTGACCGAAATGATTGGTAGAGCAGCTGCAAGCAGACACAAATGATCACAAATGCTTGGCAATTTCAAGCACATTCAAAGAGTCAGAAGAGTCAATTCTTCCAGCAGGTGTGCCTGCGTAAAAACCCATCTGCAAATATCTGAAGCCCCACAGGCACAGGGAAAAAGAGTTTCTTAAAGTGTAAGAAGAAAATCTGTTTGCTAAAGACAAGCTTTTCTCCCTAGCTCGCAGGAAGTCACCAGGCGAACAAGAAGGTGCAGGCTCGCCATGTCTCAGGATTCGATTTGTTTCATGGCAGCTTGGGGCTGATGTCGTTAGAAGTGGCTTCTCGAAGCAGGTTTACTTGGGTTCCTGTGCATAGAATGGGAGCGTAGAGAAGATTCTAAGATACTGCATGTAGGTAGAGTCGAGTTACACGTGTTGTTGGGCCATTTCACCCTCCACTATCATCCTCCTGTCTTGTATTGTCTTTTTATGATATTTCAAGAAAGACGGATGGTTTGGAGCTGCTTTGGAGCAACATGGAGCGAGCAGCAGCATGTCGATTGCTCACCAGTGCCAGTGGGAATCCAACCATATCAAAGACCCTCCAATGGAACTCACATGGAGGTGCATGGCACCCCCTGGTTGTAGAGGAGCATGGTCTTCCAAACTTGGGGCCATGCCATTTTCACTTCCATGATTACCATTCCATGTTAGTTCCAGGGGTGACTTGCGACATACAAGTCCTCCCCACTCCAAAGACACAGAGTTCCTTCAGTTTTCTCGTTTTCTCCCTGAAAAGCTTGGGGCGCCGGGAGGACCACCCTTCCCCACGGACCGCCCTTCCCGCTCCAGGGCCGGCGCGACGTGAAGGCCGCCGAGCAGGCGGAGAGGGAGGGTACCGATGGTGTGGGTCCCGACCAAAGGAACCGCCAAGAGATGCCAAGATGGGGGGAACATCCCACTTTTCCATACTTTTCCCGTTTTTCCCCAGTTCGTGACAGAGGGGAAGGGTGTTTCTTCCCTCCAATCAAGATGTTCAAGGTGACTTAACTGTGGAAGTCCAGCTTTCGGTGGCTTAACCCAGTCACCTTCATTCATTCCACACACACACACAGACATGCACCCGCAATACCCGCAATACCCCCAGACCGGTGCAATGACGAGCAGAACTGCGCGCTTCCATTTTTTCGACCGGGAGACTCACCGAGGCACGCGAAGAGTCCGCGGTTCACATCCAACGAGTCTTCCGTGGCGGGCAAGGCGGGAGAGTGGTCGTCGAGGTCGTCGATGGGGGAGACGTCCGAAAGCATCCGACGATTCAGAAGGCATTTTTTGATATTGTTTGTTTTTTTTGCTTTAGATATAGACTTGATGGCGTTTCCCAGTTGGAAGGAAGTTCTTGAGATAGAGGTGCGAAACAACCACTTGAAAGTGTGCACCACTGAGTCTTTCACCATGTTTGAAGATCTTTGTGGTGTGGTTTCGCCTGTGATCTATCCCCTGACTGCCCGTTCACTCTGTGAAACTCTATCGCCACATAGGGAAGATCTCTCGGCGTTCATGGCCCGAGTCATGAGATGTCTATATGGTTTTGGATGTTCTGGTCATTCTTTTGTGTTGAAACATAGCAAGATAACGATTAAGACTCCCAGACCCGGAGTCTTGTTAGTTGGGACCCTCTTTTTAGACAAAGGTATAATAACTTGGTGAAGCATCGGCTCACAGATGATGATAGTCTCCCGGCTCCATGAGAAAGTCTCAAACAATGAAAAACATGAAGCACACCCAAAGACAGACTCACGTTTTTCTGTGTCCCACTGTGTTTGGATTCTCCCTTTTCTTGGGGCGGCTCCGTGCTTTTTTCGCCCATGAACGGCCGAAGAAGAAGCCTGTGAGGTCGAGAAGAAGCCACCCGCAAGCTTGATCTGTTGGGAAGCCCAGGGCGACTCCAAAGTGACGGGGCAGGGCAGTCGGGAAGTTGGGACAGGGCGCCGGGACGAAGAACAGCGGACGAGGCAGACCGTTGGGGGCGAGCCTGTTTTCCCGTCAGAGGCGTGCGTAGCTTGGGCATAGCGGCATAGCTTTGAAAGCACCTTGGGTTGTAACAGGCGAAGCAAAAGCAATGCAGCAGTCATCCTCACACCTGTTGAGGCTGGTCTTGGGCCTTCCAACCACACACCCACAATCATCGTGCAGGGTCTGCACGCCTTTGGGAACCCCAGGAACGCTTGACATGTCGTTTTTTCTTGGCTGATGGCTGTAGGGTATACCGACCTTACTGGGCGCCATGAATCTGCAGATTCGCCGCGAAACGGGCGCGGCGGGTGTGGCCAAGGTCGACCGACCTTGGTGCCACAGCTCGCTGTGATCGGGATCGGTAACAAAATCTGGTTTCTTCCGTCCCACGCGGGCCCCACGCACCCCGTCGAAAGCGGCCCATGGATCCACGTCGAAAGCGCGGGCGGTGAAAACGTGTCGCCTCAGCGGTGTCGCCTCAGCGGTGTCGCCTCAGCGTTCGGTCTGCCCCTCCACGCGGAGCACGCTGGGTCCAAGGTACAATCAACAGATGGAGCAATACAAAGCGGCCACGAAACTGTGGGGCTGCCCATATTCGGCCAAGCGGTGGGAGCTTTTTCCCATGTGGGCTGGCAGAGTTGGGTCCAGAAATTAACATTTTTTTGGTTTGGATACCAACAGAGGTTAAGTGACCTTATAGGACCCTACTGGGGTACCTATGGGATAGTCTATAGGGTCATTCAACCTCTGTTGGTAGTGTTGAGTGCCTAAAGTGAGCGGTTTCACTTTGCATCACGTGAGAACTACGATCTCGAAAATTCTGTACGCAGCTGCTGGAAAACGGGTCACCAATGGACAACCCCACCGTACCTACCCTACATATATTATATAGGTCTCCATTGGGCACCCATTGGAAGTGCTATAGGTATGTCAATGGATCCTTTTGTGGCCAGAGGGGGCACAGCTGGGTTCAGACTCGATTCAGACTCGTCCATTGAGTCGCGGTGCAATCTGGAGGGCCTTGGCCCTGTGAGATGTCCGGCCAATCACCAGTGGAAACATTCATTGAGTCATCCTTCTGTTTATTAGACTCCAGAAACAGAGCTCTTGCTCAAAACTAGCTAAGTTTTATCACAATCACCTGATTTAGTCTTAAAGGCTTGACAGCTCCATGCCCTAAGACCCACCTGAAGCCTCAGTGGTCCCACGGTCCCTGGCTCCGCAGCGGAGCTCGTCCGTCCGCGAGCTCAGCGCATCCGCCAAGCGGCTCCGAGGCAAAGCATGGCTCGAAGAGATGCTGCCATCAAGAAGGCCTTTCCCCATGCCCGCAACGGCCAGTGGGTCAGTGGGTTGTAAGCGTTGGCGTCCGCAGTGACGTTGGCGACTGGTTCACTTGTCGGGTCTCAAGCTGAGGGAGTGCCCGGAGTGCCCCCGGACCTGCTAAGGTGAACTCATGGATCCACTCAAAAGAGCCAGCTTTGTGTCCAAAATTCGACTTACCCCCCGCAAACCGGAGCTTTCATGAGCCACCCGATGACGGATGTGCTGCAAATCGATCCAAACGGTTTTCGTCCTGGCCCCGTGCGCCCGAGAAATCACAGCGACTGAGACCACAAAAGTGGCCAGGGTGTGCAAGTGTTGTCGACTCGTCGACCTTCCATCCATTTCTTACCATGGATTGATCCTGGATTCACTAGACTAGGCCCCTTCTTTTTGGCAATGACATGGACCCCAATTGCTTGGGACACTCGTTCAAGGGTGCCAATTGGTCCAGGGCATCTTTCCACCGTTGGGCGGAACTCCCCTCAAAGCATCGACCGGGGCTCCGTGGACGTTCCGTCTTGAACGGCGCCAAGACACCGCAACACACCGGTCCTTCGCAGGTGGATCAGATCCGAGCAGCGAAGTTCGAGAAGATGAACAAGGCGCGGTTCGGGTCTTCGGAGTCTTCGGAAGGTTCGGGTCGGACCCGAACCGGTTCGGGTGCGGCGACGCCCGGAACCGTTCCGCTCCGGTCGATGCGCCGCGCGGAAGCCGGTGGCCCGTTGGATCGACGTTCGGTCGATGAAGAGGAGAAACGCGTGAGGCAGCGACCTTCATCCGAAAGATGTGGCTGGGTGCACGCACCCGGCGGAAGCCGGGAGGCCTAGGAACCACGGGGCCACAACGAAGACCATGGGGCGGGAGGTCTGCAGACCTCTGCTCTACAGGTCTGTGTCAGTCATGTTTGTCAGTGCTATATTTACTTGAGGAGGCCTTTGGGAAAGTAGTGATGGAATGTGTGTGTTTCTTGTTGAGAATCACTATGACTGTAACCTTGCTGTAATGTCCGATACCTGAGCTAACTGGAATCGGCCGGCTGAGTAATAACGAGAGGCCCTGCCGTAGAAGGGTTTCAACTGCGGGCGGGGCCATTTGCTAGTCAACAGATTGCACAAGAAGAACGCAATGTTTGTTCACAATCTATTAGTGTTATTCAGAGACATTCAGATAGCTTTTGAACAGATGCCAAGTATTCATCCCTCGTGAGACTTGCATTGCTGGTGAGGTACTTGGAGCTGATGGAAGAGTTCGGAAGGCAGGAGCTGGACTCTTGTTTGGTCCTTATGGAGGCATCATGACCCAACCGAAACGGTTGGATAAGCACCATGTGTGGAATTCACCACCAGCTTTGTCAGCACGTGTGTTTGGGGTTAAGGACCGGGTACGAACCCGGCTGGGCTCACTGCAGATGTGGAATCGGTCTCGTCAGGCATGTGCAGAAGGTGGTCACCATTCAACGCTATGCCCGTGGCTTTCTCGTCCGCCTGCGCATGTGGCGCCAGGCCACGACCTGATGGTACATACCTTGACCATCCGTCTGATGTGTCCTATTTGGACTGCTTAGGGATCTCCGGACACCCAGACAGGATGGGTCCAGGTATACTGTACGTTGGTCTGCAGGGATCATAGGGAGATGATTGTAGGACAATCATTTTTTGAACTGCTACAACTTGTGTATATATATGTTATGTCACGTGAACATGTCCCTGACGGAGAGGATGCCACATCCCACCCACGCATGGATGAAATCGTGATGAGTACCTGGAGGTGCAGCCACCAGTCTGAGCGCCCCCAACCCCCAAGGCCGTGCGGGCAGAAGAGGAACTCTGGGCAGCCTTGGAGATCCAACGGGTCTGGTGCGGGTGCGCCACAGCCGGCTGAGCTTTACTTCGCTACGTTGGAGAGCTCGCGAGCGCCACAAACCGTTGAGAGTTCTATCAAGTCTGCTGCCCATGAACAACAGGTTTCCATTCGGTTTCCATCCCCCCGGGCGACGTGACTCCAAACCACGACGTTCCCGCGACGACTCGACGACCGTGACCTGAGACGACCGAAGGATGACGAACGAGCTGCTGGCTTGCAACGAGTATGTGAGACGAAACGAGTGGAGAAGACAGGAGGAGACGAACGACGTTTGTGGGTCAAAATGGGGGAACACATGAATTAACATGCTTAGCAGCGTACGGAAACCGCACAGAACGGACTTCGCCACTGCGCGAACCTCCGACGTTCGCGCGAGCCTCCGGGTCCAAACCACCGCCGATTCGACGTCTTCGTGGGCGAAATGATCGATTTGGCCGTGGCAGGTACCTAGGCCGAGTGAAGTGGGAGACGAAGTACGAGGAGGCGAAGGGGGGGGGTGCAAAACCGACGAAACGGCGGTGAGACACCGGAGTGGTCGAAGTTTGGGAGGATGGAATTTGTTTATGAATTGTCAGTTTTGTTGGTATGTTTTTAAATCAATGTTTTAAAACATGTTCAGTTTTGTTGGTATGTGTTCAGTTTTTATGATGTTTTCAGTTTTATGTGTGGTTTTTGACGTTCAAGCTGTACTGGGGATGATTAAATCCACTGGCTCATACTTTTCTCGTTCGTGAGTTGAAACCACCAAGCAGATTTGCTTGAGACTGTGACCTGAACCTTTAACTGGTGTTTCCTTCTGACAACTGGTGCCGAGAAACGACAGCTTGTATTAAAACATATTAAAACATGAGTTTCACCACTGTTCGAAACATTGGATCTTTGGATTTGTTTGGAATCGTCAAGTTGATCCTGTTTGTTTGTATTCAACAAGATTCCACCTTATATTGTAAGTCAACATACATCACATGTTAAAGTTACTAAAAACTCTAGAACAACAGGTGACAAATAGATGATCGCTTGGAGATCACTGGCCCGGAGCTCCCAAATCTCAGGTCTGGCAGCGGGAGATGGCTGCAGCATCTTGGCCACATCGCTGTGGTCTTTGGATCTGTCTTAGGGGGTTCCAGCAGCGAGTCTGTGACGAGTTAACTAGTCCAGTCCCATCGAGTGGGCGTGACGTTGGGGCGCTCTCTTTTGCTCTTGCCCGGCCCGTAAGGCAAGAGCAACCCAAGTCGCAACAAGGCAACTCCAGACTGGGGCACCCAATAAGGCCAGACATTGCTCCTGAAATACGCAAGTATATAAAACTTTCAGGCAGTGCATGGCGCATGGCCGTTCTTGGCCAAGCCGGGGTAGCGGAAGCACCAGGATCATCGGTCCGAGTGAAGCTCAGTGAAGCTCTGGGCCTTTCCGAGCAGAGATCGGGCGCCACCGATCGGTTTTTGCCAAGTCTGGTATAGTCGGTATAGCACCGGTGGACTGTTGCTAGCAACCCATGGTGCAGACACTTTTGAAAGCAAACGGCCATGCTGCTTGCTGTGAAAAAGCGTTTGCATGAATACTGTATATTTATGAACCCATATGAAACCCCAGGCCATGAGCAAGGCTGCCATGTTCATTTTGTTCTGAGCCATGCCAGCATGCTTTTCTCACCCACCGCAAGCTGCTTGTGGTGTACCGGGATCCTAGACATCCACTTGCAGGATTGGACCAGTCGGGGTTAACAAACAGTCACAAAAGGCCAAGCAAATTGGCCCAATGTCAACAGTTCTTCCAAGAACCTGCCCTTACAATGTACAATAGATTGACAGATTCTCAACTTGAAGGGACTCTGGGCATGGCCCCGCCCTCCACGACTCGCCCCGGATGTTCTGCCGAGGTCCTCATCCAGAGGCATATCCGCGGCTGGTTGGCCCGCACGAAGGCGCGAGGGTGAATTCGTCCGTTCAGACACCTGAAGCTCCGTAAAAGAACGAGTTCGTTTGTTTTGTTCATGTTTGGGAAAAGCCGGGGTCGGGTTTGGACCCGCAACCGGATTGCAAGTTGTTTCACAGTGAAAGTGTCATATAGTATTACATTTAGTATTAATGTAATGGATATTACTATATACTAGGGATAGATGACCCTCGGCCGCTTGCTGCGCTTGCTGCACGGAGCTAGGTCATCTTCCCACCCAAGTTGGTATAAGCAGATGTAATGCAGCAACAGGGGAAGAAGAAGCCAACTCGGCACAGCTTTCACTTGTGTCTGACTCTTGACACCCATGGCCCGTTGGACGCGTCGGTGGACTCGTTGGTGGATGCGGCGATCCATCCGCACAGGTCGGTCGGATCCGGCGGCAGATCGCGCGGGCGGAGTGGGGAGGCCCAGAACCGAGCTCGAAGGCGCCCGGCCGCCCTGCTTGGTCAAGGGGAACAGTTGCTGCGGGCGGCTTGAAAGTGTCCTCTCTCATGTCTCCTCTCTGCTCCTGTCTCCTCCTCTTTGTCATGCGTTCTTTTCTCTCCATCCCCTTTTTTCTTCTCTCTTCTGTCCTCTTCAAATCATTTCTGTCTTCGCCTCTTCTTTATTTGTTTTGTTCTCTCTCTCTCTCTCTCCCTCTCTCCCTCTCTTTTCTTCTTCTTCTTCCTTCTTCCTTCTTCCTTCTTCTTCCTTCTTCTTCTTCTTCTTCTCTCTTTTGGTCATGTTTTTTCTTCTCTGCTCACTTTTTCAGAAGAAAAAGGAAGAGAAGAGGCCGAGGGCAGCAGAGAAGGAGAAGAGAAGAAAGGGAGAGGAGAGAAGAAGAGAAGAAGAGAGACTGAGGAGAGAAGAGGAAGAGGAGAGAAGAGATGAGAAGAGAACATCTCAACACCCTTCCCCATGAATGTCGGGTCCTGATTCTCAGGGCACGTGACGTGACTCGGCACGTGATACCCGAAGACCCTGCGAACCTACTAGGGTGCGTAGGGCACGCCGAAGAGGGTGCGGTGTTCGACGACGGACTTGGTCACAAGGGATCTGGTGAGATCTGGTTCAGTCCTGGCATCCTGTCTAGGTCCAAAAATGGAGGTCCACTTAGTGCAGGGTAGTCTTTTGGTGATTTTTGTGTGAGCTTCCTGACAGGAAGCAGCTGAGTACATATATATAGTTGTAAATTATGATTTATCTGGCTCTGGCAGGGTAGTCTCTTGGTGAAGGAAGCAGCTGGTTATGGGTGTTCTGTTGATCTTCATCCGGGCCGAGGTTCGAGCGCGCGCGCCGGCGCTTCCGGGCCGCGCAGAGGGTGCAGGCCGAAGAAGACGAGCCCGGTTTGGGGGGCGGGCGCGGCGCGCGCGCACGCCGAGGACCTAGGAGTTGCATGTTACGAACTTGGAGGTGTGTGGGGATGTGCAGCCCAGAACATCCACTCACTGGACTCAGAACCGTGGAAGAACTGGCTGGCAGGAAATACACAGCTCCAAACGGACGGGTTCATTGAGGAAGATCCTTGCTTAAAACAGCCCTTTGAAACTCCTGGAACCTGAGCATGAATGGAAAGGATTCATGTAGTAGACTATAGGAAGCTTTCGGCACTTCTCTGCTAAATGTTTCGATCTATAACGCAAGTTGTCCCTTTAAACGATTTGGATCACCAAAATCAGTTGTTAGTTGATACAGGTGTGCTTCTCCACGTTGATCTCACCGGAAGTCACCGGAGTCTCCCACCCGCTCCCGCCCTCTGTTAGTTCAAGGGAGTGTAGTTCAAGATTGGACTTTGGACATGAAGTCATCTATTGGATCATTGAGACTCCAGACCACTCCATATGAGGATTCGGGTCCGATCCCTCCATGTGAGGGTCGAGGGTCGCATTTGCATGGGTTTATATAGATGAAAAGACGTGAGAGCACGGCTTGAGATTTGGAAATTTCTTGATCTGGCCAAAGTGATTGATCGTCTCAGACCCAAGGAAATGCTCATCCACATCCCCTTAGAAAGGTGAGGGAGAGAACTATTTCAGAGGGATGATGAAGTCGGGTGATGGCCACCATGGTCCGACCTTCTCGGAAGGTGGTTGGAATCGGTGGGATCGCTCGCCTCTGCTGGAAGAGGCCATGCTGCGGGGCGCCTTGGTGCGAAAGAAGTTCGCCCGGCGCTTCTGGTGCTGTCGCCATGCGGCCGTGCCTTGGGCAATTGTCTGGTGCGGTGCGTGGTGTTTGGCATGGTGGTGGTGGTTTGAACTCAACGGCTCAGGATGCTGGCTACTGGTGGATGTTTTTCACATCTTTTTGGAGGTAGGAATGCTTCCCCAACTGGATGTTTTGAATCAACTCACCGGCTCAACACGCTGGCTACTTGTGAAATTCTTACCCCTGATTAGCTCGAGAGCTTCAAGCGGATCTCTTTTGAGTGGCGACCGAACGCGAACTGAAGCAAGCATCACCCCCTGTAGTTTGGAACTCAGAGGAACTCAGCGGTGGGAGCTGAGCTGGAGCGGCCAGGTGACCGCCATGACTATGACCAACTCGTAGTGAAAAAGAAAGATCTCTGAGTTTGATAGGTAAGTTACAATCAGGATATCTTAGGTCTTGGCTTTCTGGTCCAAAATGTGAAGCTTGGTGTTTTGAAGGAACACCGGCTGTTGCACTTTCTCTTTTTGGACGCACCGGATGAGAAGTCCGAAGATTCCACAGGATGAGGGGCGTCCTCGTCGCGTCAGGTGAACATCCAAAGAGTCGTCCGCGGCCACGCTCTGCGCAAGCGTGTTTGGCAGCAGGCGCACTCTCCGCCGTGAACCGCGACGCACGTTTTCCAAGACGCACGGGGTCGTGTCACGCACGGGTCGGCTGGAGTTTGGGCGGTTTGGGGAGCCCTTTCTTGGGGCGACCTTGCGGTGGTTCGTGCATGCGGTCTCATTCAGTTCCAGGCAGTTCCCATAGCATCCCATAGCCATGCTTTTGGAAGAACAGGAAGATCACCAAGGACTTACGATGACGCTCAGCCATGCTCAGCCATGCTCACCCGTGCGCTGCTCAGCTGTTCGGCGCTCTTCCGGGCGCTCGCCGTGTCAGGTCAAAGAGCAGAAAGCCACCACCATCCAGGCGGTGGAGGGAGTTTCATGGTGCCTGCGACCTGGAGGACCTGGTTCCAGGATGTTCCAGGGCACCAAACCTGGTGAAACCGACATGTCACCACCATCTGAAGCTCGACTAGACTGTCCCATAGCTTATCGTTTTGAACAGTGATTTTCATCCGCAGTCGACTTCGTATCAAGTGTCATGAATCATTATTCAGTTGTCACGAAAGGTAGCCTCTGCTACCTCTGAGGAGTTCTCCCTCCTCTTTAAGCAATTCATGCTGTTTGACCTGAAAACAAACAAACAGACAACACAACGCGTGTTTCACATGTGTGGCATGGGACGACATGGACGTCATGGACGGTGGATCGTGCCCGATCTTCCTCCGGCGGTGTGAAAGACCGGCGCGGCAGGGTTCCCATGGGTGAAGCGGGGCTTTCGCTTTGCCCCTTCTAGAAGCCCTTTCGGTTGCTTCCGAGTCAAACATGGGAGGCTTTAGGGGCTCAGGGTCAGTCTAGTGAAGCCTATTTGCGGCTCAGGGTCAGTCTAGTGAAGCCTATTTGCGAGGCCTGAATGCTTTGACGCCAGGAAACAGTTTGGTGTTGACGCCATGACTTGTGGACACAACAGAGACACTCCATGTAGGGCATAGTAGGACCAAGAGAGCATGATTCGTGACTGGTGGCATGATGCAGGCTCATATTCAAGGATGGCTCGTCCGCCGAAGAAAGCTTCACTTGACGCTTGGAAGCAAATCGACCAGGGAGCCTCCTGGACAGCCTCCGCTCATTGCTTTTCCTCTGCCAGCACTTTTGATAATTCATCGGTCAGTCTCCGATTTCTTCGGTATCCGCTCTGGTCTAGGGGACCGCTGGATGCTAGATACTGCTGGATTCAAACATCCCAGACTCAGACTGCAGAACCAAGGGCGAAGACATCCTGACTTGTTTTTTGAAATGCGTTTTGTACAAACCAGCAGACAGGGGCACAGTTGTTCAGTGATGACCTGACCATAGCCTTGCAAGAGCATTGACCTGGTCAGGGTGAAGACCTGGTCACCCTGAACTGAGGATCGCCAAGGTGATTTGCATTCAGCGTGGTTGGAGGACTGGATCGACGATCGGCCGAGGACGTGGTCGGGGAAGGTCCACATGAGAGGTATGCATGAGGAGGATGGAAAGGTGGTGAAGCCTTAATGACATCCAGCACCACCCAGCTTGGGGTGGTCCAAAAAGTAACCCCCTCCTCACCACCTGTCTACCATCAACCAGACGATCTGCCGGGTGATGCTGGATGGGAGGTCTTTACCCTCGACTCTCATGTCATCGACTGCCTCACGAAGTTGCAGTCTTGCAGCATGGTGCATCATGGTGCGAAGACCAGACTAGGGCCCCCCAAGGGGTGTTGATTTGTTGCCACTTAGAGTTTAAGGGGTGTCCATCTTCTATCCTTTGTGGGTCCTAGTATAAGGTCAATTCTTATTTCACTATGGCCAATGAGACTTGTGCGTCAAGCTGACTTCAGGTGTGGCCATGAACACCGACCAGTGGTCCTTAACGACTTCGCAGGGGTCGCTAGGCTCAGATCATCTCAGGGGTCCACGCAGCAAACAACAACAACGCCGCAAACAACCAACGCTCCACAGAGGCCGCAAGCTCCACCTCGCCTCCCACGTCTGGGACAACCCGAGCGAAACACCCGACCGAAACACGGCACCGGTGAAGGAGCTGGCAGCGAAAACCACTGGAGCTTCGCGAAGCTGCTCTTGTGCCTGGGACGGAACCTGGTGAGGTGAACTGGCCCCCACCGCGACCGCGGCTGGGGCGGTGGTGCGCGGGGACCGTGCACGGTCTGCAACTGGTGTGTTCGGAGTCCTTTTTGTTTGCATTCCCTCCATGCATTTTCCAGGTAGATTTTAGCTTATACAGGTCAAGTGGGAGATGGTGGGGGTATCTATCCTATGTTTGAGCCCATCGTCAAGTGTTTCCATCTATGGCTGGGTTTGTTCACCCGGGTTGCATGGACGGCGGGTTCTCTGCAATACAAACTGCATGTCCATCTCTTCATAGGTCTTACAGCCCAAACACCCCAAAAACCACTCCTTTCCGGACCCGGCACGGACCCGTACCCTTCGGACCCGTGCCGCTGTGGCGGTCGCGTTTTCAGAACGACGGTGGGCTGTCCCCCGGTGCCATGACCCGGCGCGCCAAGCCACGGAGTTTCTGGTTGCTCCGCCCAGGCGCAAAGAAAGGAGCGCAAGGAGCAGGCGTTTTGGTCGTCCTTTCTTTCCGCAAGCCAAACGTTTGGCTTGCGGAACGTGGAGACATGGGGGGTGAGAAAGGCTGCAAAGGTTATTTTTCTGCAGTCCATTGGTGAAGACCAAGTGTTTGATCAATATTATTTTCAAACATGGCCTCATGAAAGAGAGAGAGAGAGAGATAGAGAGATCCTTTGGGCCTCCACTCTTCACTTTTCTTGCGACGATCCACTGAATTCTAAGCCTCCTCCATGTCCAGTTCATGGGCTGAGCACTCGACATGGTTCTGTGTCATCCTTGGGCTTGGGCATTGTGGTTCCTCAGTCATCCTCAGTCTAATGCAGATCCAGGTTGACTTGAGATCATACCACAACTGAGAGGATGGCTCGTTGGAATTTACCACATTGAAGTACCTCAAGGTTTCCTGTCGAGCTATGTCGGGAAGGGATGGTCACATGGCGAACCCCTCCGACAAACGCCAACTGCTTTCACTCCAAACTGGTGATCATCGCTAGTGGGTTGGAGGCCATTGCTAGTGGGTTGGAGGCCATCGCTTGTAGGTTGGAGGCCCCTGGATGCTCGAGCCATGCATGCAGCGATTTTGGCTTCGAGCCACCTGTACAGATCGCGGACCTGCCACGCCCGTCAATAACGCCTGTACAGCCATGAGCGGATATTCGGAAGCCGAGCGCGCGGAAGGAGAGCGGGTCATGGCTGAAATCTCAGAGAGAAGGATGGCCATGATGGTGGATCTGGAGAAGCTCCAGCTTGAAGGGTTCAGCATGGGTGAAGCGATAGTCATCCTGGAGTAGGCAGAATTGGTTGAAAGAGTACAAAAAATGGAAGCCCTAGGGCTCCAAGTACCTCCTCAGAAGGTACTTGGACCCTCCAAACCCACCTCAAACACCTCTAGGGAAGAGGAACATGAAAGGCCGGTTTTGCCATGATCGTTTTGGTATCTACTCGCAGGATGGAAGGCGTCGGTATGTTCACTCAGTAGAAGGCAAAAGCCCCAAGGACGAAGAGGAGATGGTTCTTCTAATGTTCTATAGAGACACAGTTTTTGGATACTCTAACACCATCACTTGCAGTGTTCTATATAGAGACACAGTCTATAGAGACACATTTTTGTTTAAAACTTCCCTTTTCGGATACTCTGAGCACCTTGACAAACCAGAAATCACTTGCACTTCCGATCTTCCAAACCCGGTTTTCCACGCTCCGTTCCGCCGGTGAAACCACCGTCCAGCCCAGGAAGCCCATGCCCCTCAACTCCCCGGCCGCCGTTTGCCTCATTGCAGCTCGCCCCACACCACCCCAGCCAGCATCCATCGAGCGTCGGCCTCGAACGCTGCCCAAACGGCTGAGTGGCTCGGCCAAAAACGGAGCTCGGCGGGCGTGAAATGTGTCAGAGTTCAAAAGGGACAGCCAAGATCGATCAAGCAGCTGCAGGGCAGCTGCAGGGCAAGGGGAGTGAATTTAGTAGTGGTGATGACCACGTCGTGATAAAGCACGCAGAAGTCAAATGGAAGTAGGAGGTTGGCCTCACGTCCTGCTGGCATAGGTTGAAATGGGTCGAAGCAGAACCGCAGAACCCATAGAACCGAAGAAAGAAAGGTGGAGCCGTTGGAATCTTAGAATATCTTAGACAAAACAATGTTCACTACTAGTAACAAGTGCATCGCTTCTAGTAACAAGTGCCATACTAGTAGTAACAAGTGCCTTGCGAACGTAGAAACAATATTGTCTATCACTGTCACTGGCTATCAGATGCCCTCTCCGACCTGCGCTGACCTGCGCAGGTCCCTGCGGTGACCGGTGCTCGTCAGGGGTCAGGGAATGCAGACTGACTTGAAACAAGGTCTTTTAACAGTCACACCAAGGTCTTTTAACAGTCTGAACCACCTTGAAAGGCTCGTTCCAAGACTGGTGCCCAGTCGCCGAGTCGCTGAGGTAAGGAAGAAGCCGAACAGTTAGCTACCACCTATTGGAACCATGTGGCCACGCCGGTGACCATGTTCGGCGAAGGGGGCGGCATCGAAGAAGGTGGTGTCACTGTTGTGATCCCAGGCGAGAGGTTTTGGCGCGGGCAGTTGGGTTTCATATATGATTATATTTATAAAGGTTTCATGAATGCCTCCATATAGACCCAAAGGCATGCCAAACGACCAACTCCTGACTCCTTTCTCCGCAGAAAGTTGCCAACAAGCCTGATCATTTGATGAATTAAACCAATACTATCCTATACTCAATGGATCCTTGCCTTGCCTCCAACTTGCTTCATGTTCGCTCCATCAACTCACTGGTGATGTGTTCGCTCTCTCGAGGCCGTGCCTGGGTCGTGCCCCTTCTGAGCGCAGAGGAATGTGACGCCACGATTGTTGCAGGGGAAGCCTTCGGCGTCATCCCGGCGCTGCTCGCCAGCGGGGCGGTAGGCGCCACCTGCGTGTGGCGCGACGAACTGGGGCGCGGGGTGCGACAAGAGTGGAGCGACTCTCAGGGAGCGACTCGCAGGGAGCGACCCTTGGGTCAACAGAAAGAGATCTATTGAAAAAGGTGAGCGGCCCCGACTGGGCTTTTGAGAAAGTGACTGGATAAGATCGACTGGGCCCCTGACCTGGCAGTTTTCTTGACTTTGGGTGTGGATGAACGTTGCGTGAACCTAAGCTTGCTCTCCTGACACATTCCGTCCTGATCACAACCTCCTACATCATATTATTTGTATCAGAATGATATTTGTATATATTTGTGCGCTTGCTTTTGGTGTATATGATATGTGTGCTCCTTGCATATCTACTTCATGGTGCGCCGACCCAAACATAGCCATTCTGAGATCTTTTGGGAAACTCCGTGCATTTTATTGTGTCTTAGTCTTTACCTCCTTTCATTCCATGCCATTCCATTCCATAGCTGGCAATGTGGGACAATCAAAAGGGCCCCAGGAGTGCCACTACCCTGCAGGGTCTCAGGGCCAGCATGGGTCTCTGATGGAGGGTCCAAGGCCCCTGCACCCGGTGCAGGTTTGGACTGTTTGAAGGTCCACAGTCCGCGGTTCTCAATGGCAAAGATGTTTTTTTTCATGTTTTTTCTAATAGACGTCATGACGTCATGGCAGATCAACATCCATTAGCCCAGTCACCCTTCTTTCGCCTCCACTTCTGGGCTTTCACCAGGCCTGCGCACCAGCAAGCGCACCGCCAGCTACTCCAACGTGGAGCTGTCCGCCCTCGTCGGCTCTCGCCTATGCTCGGCCCTGCTGGACATGGTGGAAGAGACTGCGCCTCACACGGCGGTGCGAGGGCTCCATCCCAACTGGCGCATCGCCCGCTACGACATGGACGCTTGGTCGAACCGAGTCGGACGAGAGAGATCTCTTCGGGCGACCCTAGCTGACCGCACCCGGATCGCTGACCCCCTGAGCCCCCTGAGCCTCGCCTGGTTCCTCTCCAGACTGCAGGGGCACGGGGGGCCCCTGGTTCCTTCTCCTCCGCTGCCGCGTCGTGCGGCGGAGGGTGAGATCGGTCAGGTGGGAACGAGCTTTGGGGTCTGAATTCTTGGTGGCTTGAACCCTTGAAGATCCTTCAAGAACATTCAGGGTCCCAACTCCTTGAAGTTGCTGTTGCTGTTGGGGCCATGTGAGGAAGACTACTTTGCGGCGCACTATGATCAGGCTGATTCCCTCACGGTGAAGACTGAGGCGCGGGCGATGTTGCAATGGGAAAGGAGGCGATGTTCCGATCGCGTGTGGTGATTGTTGCTACAAAATAACACATTTTATGTTCAATATTTATGAACAGGTGGCAAGAAAGCTACTTGGCCCGAGCTTAGTAGCTCAGGAGCGGCGGGGTCCCAGGGCCGTGCGTCCTCTCTCACGAGAGGGGGTTCGGCGTCCAACAAGGGAACAACACCTTGTTCCCACCCTGGTCAACAGGACTTGAGGTGGCTTAGGTTCACTGTGGCTCCTTGCTTCGCAATGGTGGAAATGGGATCTGACCTGCATGAGCCCTATGCCCAGAGGCTCAAGGCTCTTCGACATGGTTTGATCTCAGGGGGAAATGTGCTTCGTTTGGATGATGTCGATATCCTTGTGGGGGAGGTCTCCACTTTTCATGGTGACACGTTCATGTGCATCCCCTTTTGCTTTCTTCCTGGACAGGGATTTGTGAAGCATGATCAGACAACGCAAGTTCAGCTGACCATTGACGGACTAGCGAAACGCTCCTTCATGTTGACGAGTGGCATTCATGTTGTTTGCTTTGGACGTATTTACCAGACTGGGGAAGCTACATTTGTGGGGGACCGCAATTGTGTTGTGTGCCATCGACCAGAATGGGACCCCTCAGCATCGTGGGATCATCTCTCCCTTTTTTCGGGAGCATTCGACGGCTGGGGACAGGCATTCAGATGCCTTCCCACTCTTTCGAAAGATGTGTTGATTGCGAGGCAACTGTGCATTGATTCGAACGAAGATGTCATGCACACCTGGGGTAGAAAACACCGAGCTTCCGTCTTTCGCTCACCGATTCTGCCTCAAGAGGTGTGGACTGCTGCTTTGATGACTGGAGTGATTGCCGATGTTTCCGATCGCACGTCCCTCAACATGCTCATGTCTCAGGCTAACCTGATTTGCACTTGTTCGCCTCCCTGTCCTGTCTGGTCGAAAGGGGGTAAGTCACAAGGGCTCGCTTCTGATCAAGGGTGGGCCTTCATTGATAGCCTAATCACCGCGACATGTGCACAGCCGGTTCTTTTGCTGTTCGAATGTGCCGATGAGATCATGGTTCACAAGCATTTTCCAATCCTGGAAAACCTCCTCAGGCTTTTGGGCTTTCGCAAGATTTGGGACCAAACATTGAATCTTGCTACCATGGCCAGCTGTCAACGGAATAGATGGATTGCTGTTTGGGCACGTAGTGATCTCTCGTCAAGGCCCTTTGATTCTACCATCAGGTTTTCGGTTGGACCGATTGTAGGATGGTCTGATCATGCTTACAGATTCGAGTTGCCTC